TCATAARTTTCCTTAACAAATGTTCTCTGCTTTATATTTTTTTGGTGATAAGTTGGAGTAGTTCAGTATGGTTGTAACATGAAGCCAAGGTTAAGATGAATGTAGGTTTTTGTCTGAAGCTCTTTTCCAAGTTTAAATAGCAAACTAGAAAACCTTCTGAATAAATAATTGCAGAAGCAGAACAAAGAGCCCTGGCACAGATCCCCGGGAGGCTGGAGTGCTGTTTCTCACTTGCTTCATGCAGATTTATGACTGGGCCTGTTCCACAGAGCTGGCACTCACCTTTGAGACTTGCAGGGGACGCTGCAAGTTATGAAAGCGAAGTGGGGGGGKAGTTTTACAGCGCAGCAGACAACCATCACACGCCACCTCTACTTAATTAAGTATTTTCACTGAAAGTTTCTGAAAGTTGCAGTTGTCATCTGGGAGGCTGGGAACTGTATTATTTCTGCTCAACAAGTTGCCTGTTTCATCACAACACATTACAGAGTGTATCCTTCAGCAGGAACTGAGCTTTTGGATCCAATTACCCAAGGAATTGAGCTCTTCTGAACACAGCTATGAACAGCTTCCTTCTCATGGAAATTAGTACTTAGGAATAGAAGGAAATTCCAGAGCCCTCCYCTCCTGATAAAATAGAAGATACCCTGAGAAGGGGTATCAGTTTTAGACAAGACTTTCTAATTTATTGATTCCACCAGGAGAATTAATGGGTTTGAAAATATTTTAAGACATATAAGTCAGTATTATTCATATACGGATCTGTTAAAAAAATACAGCAGCATTTTGAAGTTAGACACCTAATAAACCTATTCCAGAGCCTAGGTATTTCACCTGTGAGAAACATTATAGATAGTAAGACTCCAATTTTGCATTTCTCTAAAACACAGAACTGAAGAGATCCCACAGAACCCACCAAGATTGCCACGAGCTCCAGGCCTAGCTGCACTACAAGATTAAGCTGCTTCGTGCACAACCGAGACTCCTCTCAGGTACTGAGACTCCTCTCAAGGCATCTACCCCACCTCCTGCAACACAGGGGTCTTACCTCACTGCCACAGGGCTCATCTAAGGAGGGGACAAGCTGCCCAAGGAAGATTCTCCAGCAGAGACTTTCCAAGGGAGGCACAGATACCRAGACAGACTCCTCTCAAATAGATATTAAATGTATTAAAGTGAAATAACAAAAACTGAGAAAGGAAGAATTTAAAAGAGTTTAAAATTAGTACCTGAGCAGGCCCCGGGAAAATAGCCAAGATGTATGAGAGTCCAGGTCTCTAGGGAAATTCACAGTAATGAAACAGGTCTGGAGTTAAATCATAAGTACAAAATCCAAAAAAAAAAAAAAAAAAAAAAAAAAAA